CCTGAACCCCCCCCCAAAAAAAAAAAACACTTCACTTCCTAAACTACAAACCCTTGTATAAACCTCGCCCTGAAGCCCTGCAGCTGTTTAACACCATGTAACACACCGAAGGGGACCCTGGTTCAGCGCCGAAACTCAGTCGCGAAATCCATATGAAAAGCCCGCCCCTGAAGATTCGTAACCCGTTAATAGACAAACATCGCGCAGCTTACGAGTGTCACAAGCATGCGGAAGACAGTGGGCGACCAGCACAAACAGGCAGCATCATCATCATCATCAGCAACATTACCGCCACGTGCACAACCACTGTCATCATATCACCACCATCATCCCCATCCTCATCCTTCATTCGCCTCCTGAACAGGTTGCTGCGCCGTACAAGCTTGCATGGGTCAACTCGCATGTGGCCGACTTTCGGATCTTCTTATCCTCAAGATCTTGGTCATGAATCTCGATTAATTATGTACATGCTTGCATACATAGACACTCGAGTTTCCACTTACCAACATCGCTTAGCTTGCCATGTGTGCTGAGAATGTACATATATAGTATGAATGTTCTTTAGTATGCTGCTGTGATAGGTTGATGCTATATATATATATATATATATTGTTTTCCTAGCAATGGAACTAGTACAATGTTCGATATCGAGAAACTTTTGTGGGTTTTGAATCCTTGCTTGCATCCTGACCGAAGTGTGTCTCGGTGACCTACGCCTCAACTTAAATTGGATGGCCCAGTAATGTACTAAGCTCCGAAACCCCAAGCAAGTCCCCCAAGTCTAATTTACCCACCCAGCAAAGCTTCCGTGGTCCTTCAGGAGGGGACTTGGTGCCGATGATTCGGAACACTCAGGAGGCAAACGAGGGGTCAGGGTTTTAAGGTGCGTAGTTACAGATTCAAAAGGCACGGGTACAAGACGAGGGCGAGCTCAGTCATTTAGGAGGCTTCGCTTGCGAAGTGTGCCTATATGCATGTAAAAACTTCTAAACGAACTCCAAAGGCTTGGCAGTTCATTCATCGCTGCATTACTGTGGTTGAAGATGAGGGCCAATGATGCTATCTCCTCACCTAAGCCGGAAGTTGTATAAATATAGTCATGCAACGACAGACAACCCGAATCTCATAAACAGAATTAGAGAAAACCAAAAACGGGGGCCCAGGACTGACTCCAACCGAAAGCTTATTTGCGGAAATAGTTCATTGTGTGGCTTTCTAGGAAACATTGCCGAAAGTTATATTGGCTGACAGCAGGTGGCCCCCAGAATTGATGATCCACGCACAACTATGAACCCCCCTGGAGCCCGTTAGAACCCAACAATTATCTTGAGTGTTCGGGTCAGGGAACATGTGCAAAATTGGTAGGCACAATTTGCACCCGAGGTTCCGAGAAGCAAGCATATTTCCGGTGCGAACAGATGGGAACCAGTCCCGCCCCAGCGGGTCCGATAAGGTCCTGCCATGAGTTCCTGAGTTTGCTACCACGAAAGAGCCACAAACGGGCCCCGCAACCAGGAGGAACCGATCCTGTCGTCCAGACAGAACTGTAGCAATTGCCAACCTAGGCCACGGAGCTCTTGAACGTGCAGCAGGCAAACTACTGTAGGAGTATATCAAATTACATTTGTACGTATGCATGACAGCATTGCCTGTGGCAGTTCAGCAACGACATTCCAGCAGTCGTGGTTAGATCCATGGCCCGGGAAGCAGCATTCGGAAGAGAGGCACCGTATGCGACATCTAGTGACGCTGTAGGATACCCGCCCAATTTGAAACAGCGGCTGATCCAGGCCTTTCCCGCAAAGAGCTCCACACAGCTGTAGGCCTGCATGCACTATATAGTGTTCGACTTTAAGTGTGTGTTCACATGACAGCATCGGCAGTTCGAACAGCAAGCACTATCCTGCTCATCGATTGCATCACACTGTACTTCTAGGCATGCGGATGTGCAACACACTGGTAGCTTGTCCCACTATACACATACCACCTGCCCGACAGGACACCTTTAACCAAGTTTCAAACCTGTCAGATTAACTTCCAGCCTCAGCGAAGGTGTCTACATTCTTCGCGAAGCACAACAAGATGACCGCCGCCATCAGAACCTTGGTGGAGGAGAACCATTCGTTGGGGATTGGTTAAGAAGAGTAAAGACTAGTTAAGTGGTTGGGTCTCTAGAAGTAGTTTTCTCATTAACCAACTCAGGTTTTACCGCTATAGTCCATCGATCAAGATGAAGCTGAGGAAAGCACTTTAGGAGCATCCAGACAAGCTAGCTTTCGGATCATGGCAGCCATGCTCTGCACTTGCAGCGCCATAGCCAAAGGCTTCCAAAGGTGAAGCAAATCTTTGCCGAGATAGTCATTACAACTCAGTTTGAAAAGTTGCACGTACTTTTCTACTATATATATATATATATGTCTACTTCACATGTAAAGGTATTTGAACTATAGGTTATACTCCCAAGTAGTCCAAAGCTAAAGAAGATCATGTGCCCCTGAACCTAGGAGCCACAATCCTTGACTGCTAATTGCCTGAAATAATCAACAAACCAGCTTCGAACACATAGGCAGCGACTGTGTGCACACGAACATCCAGCATGCAATCACACTGCACACATGTAGCTGCGCAGAGACATTCCCTACACAGAATGCATTGACCGAGCGGACGACTGAATGCAAAACTGATATCTGAAACAAGAAGGCTGGGCGATTCCTTTGATCGGCTTGGCCCCGCTGGAGACGAATTCGCCATGCCATCCAAGACCTGGGAAGGCAAGGGACTTAAGGGCTTATAAGGGTCATATTGAAGGGATGCCTGGAGAGCATGTGGTGTCGAAGATGTGGTCCATGTGCACACATTGCAGAGCTTGGATACTCAGAAGCACACACAGCAATGGTCGACAAATCCTGTTTGCACTTCTGTGCGATCGAGAGCCTGCCTAGCTTCTGCATCACACTGGATGAACCCCCTACACAGATACCTAATCCCACTCTTGGCGGCGCCTTGTAGCGACTTCTGTTCTTCCCAGAGAAATTAGGAGCCTAACATTATGTTGATGATGCTATATGTACCATATACTGTTGCTACATACAGGCACCGCAGACGAGCAGGAGAATCTGTAGATCCAATGAGCAGAAGTTGCTCTCCTAATGTTTCGAAAGGACGCAAAGCCACAATCTCTGATATGTGCGGTCTCGCACACAGAGAAAAACTACAGTGCGCATGGTAAGCCAGCGCTTGACCTGGAAATCATAGCCATGTCACAGCACACTCAGATCTCCGTGATGCAATGAATCGTGCTAACTCCCAGAGTCTGCAGATAGCTGATCGAGCTGTCCAAGGCTAGCTCGCCCATGTTCTCCTCCGTCGGATTGAAGCGTTGGGTGCACCAATCGTTGATGCAGAACTTCCAGAACAAGTCCTGCCAATACCAAACAGTCACCACTCAATTAAATTCTCAATGAAATGACAAACCCTCGAAGTGTCTGTGAAACATACGACAGACAAAGGCGATCATTGCTACCTAAATCGTAACCACCCGTGAACACAGTCCTCGTGCTTGCTCGGACTGTCAAGCTTCCTGTGGATATTCGTGTTGAAGGCATTGCGGATTCCTTGCCATCGTGCACGTGAGAACCCAGGCTTCTCCGGCATGTACCTCCGGGCGAAAGTCATTGGGATCTTGCAGTCCCCAAGCCTCTCTGTCCTGGCTCGCTTCGAGCTGGATGCCACAGCAGTCCCATCATTCGGCTTGACTGGGGACTTGCGCTTGCCAGCTGTCTCGGCACTCAGATCATTCGGCTTGACTGGGGACTTGCGCTTGCCAGCTGTCTCGGCACTCAGATCATCCGGCTTGACTGGGGACTTGCGTTTGCCAAGCTTGGCATCGGGACCCTTGGGAGCTGCTTTCTCCGCCTCTGTCGACTCTTCAGCGGGAGCCGTCTCCTCATCAGCAGAGGCAACCACAGCCTTGGGCACCGCTTTGGCCTTGGCCTTACGACGCTTGGGAGCACCTTTCTCAGCCTCTGTCGACTCTTCAGCTGGAGCCGTAGCCTTGGGCACCACTTTGGCCTTGGCCTTGCGACCCCTGGGAGCTGCTTTCTCAGCCTCTGGTGACTCTTCAGCGGGAGCCATGTCCTCGTCATCATCAGAGGTAGCCACAGCCTTGGGAGCTGCTTTCTCGGTCTCTGCTGACTCTTCAGGGGGAGCCATATCCTCAGCTGGAGTCACAGCCTTGGATTTCGCACCCTTGTTCTTTGCCTTGGCCTTCGCCTTCGCCTTGCCTTTCACCTTTGGAGCCGCTGCCTTGGAAGGCTTGGTCTCATCAGCTTCGGCATCAACGGAAAGCTCGGAGTGCAAGGGCTCAGCAGCCATCTCACCCGGAGCACAGCAGGGCTCGCCGCCCTCGTTGGCCCCCTTGGCTGCTGTCGTCGTCTTCTTCTTCTTGCTTGATGTCTTTGTTGTGCTCGAATCAGCCGAAGTCGGCTTGGCCTTTTTCTTGGCATCAGCGTCAATGACGGTCTTCGCCGCCAACTGCTGACGACGAGTAACCTTGCATGTGCACTGCCCGCCCAATCTAGACTGATGATTGCTGTCTACAACAAACATGCAGCCACTGAATACACTCCGCAAAGCTGTACACGTAAATCTCCCCACGAACCTCTCTCTCTCTCTCTCTCTCTTTCTCACTCTCTTGTTTGTTGTAACAATGATTATCTCTCTATCTCTCTCTCACGTTCATACATCTTCTCACATTACATTGTACTGTGTAGGGCTGTATGCAATCTGTGAACCATGCCGATGTCTCTGGAGTCCAACTCTTCGCCCTCCAAATCAATCTCAGCATTCGCCTGGCGAAACTTCTCGGCCAGATCATCCATCACATCGGATCCCACAACCTGGGTGTCGTGGCCCTCCCAGGAAGATAAGGATGTAGTGGCTGGTCCTGTTTCTCTGACGGCTGTGTCTATGCACGACTGTATGTATATATATATATATATATATCTATCTATCTATCTATCTATCTATCTATATATATATATATATATACTGTATATGTATGGGGTAGCAGTCGAAACCTTTCACATGGCATCTAAACGTAGTCACTTAGACAATCATAGAAATACATGCGTGATATTCTCCAACCCAGAATGGAATGGACTTTTACACAGGCACGAATAGTTCCCAATGAACCCTTGGCAAAACAACTCCATGTGTCCTGGCACATCGGTCGCTTCAACAGCAGCCAGGCTCTCCAAGCCCTCCCGGGCCTTCGCCCTGAGCAGGTCAACGGTGGGCATCCACAGGCTAGATTTGAAAGGGCCCATAAAACCGGAACAGAAGCTACTAACCAAAAGCCGCAAACTCAAACCAACATCATACGAAGAAGACAAACCCACACCAATATGTGCTATGTAGGGATGAGCGAGCCCAAGAACTATGAAACTCGTATCGAAATCACACAATCTTTCCTAACTGAACCGGAGCTCCTTTGGGACTGCCTCAGCCTCAAAAGGCGTAGCTTCTGGCTGAGTTCCTTGATCCTACGGAATGGGCTCGGGCGGAGCGGGGAACCAAACGTGTGGTTCTTGGAGCGGGGCGGCGAATCCTCGAGCGGGGAACCAAACGTGTGGTTCTTGGATCGGGGCGGCGAATCCTCGATAAAGAACAGATCCTGTCCATCAAGAGTTTTCCTGGTCTTGAGCTCCACTTGCGAGTCTTCCTCGCGATCCAAGGACTCCAAGCTCATCGACCGTTCCACTCCGGAGGTCGGTGCCTTTGCTCCAGAAGCTGCCTGTGCTTCTTCATCGAGCAACACCTGAAACGGGTGCGTCTCACCCTCCATCACCTCCGTATCGGAAAGCATGACCAGATCGCTCTCGTTTCCCGCCTCCTCATTGTCACTGTTGGCTGGCACGAGTGCACCGGCGCTGCCATCGTCGTTGGCGGAGTCTGGGGCGTCGTTGCCATCATCCGCTTCGGAATCACCCGCATCCTGCGGCACAACAGGCTAAATTTGTGACCACTTGACGATGGTTGGATGTGTATCTAGATTCTCGAGAATCTACATTCCGTGTATTGGGGTGTTTGCTTTATGTTTTGCTATTCGAGTCCTGATTCTCCAAGAGATTCAGGAGGCGCTGGAAGGCAGGATTCCTTGCCTTGTGCCCCCGGCTCCGTTTCCGCTTCACCAAAACCACGAAACCTTTGGCCAACCAGGCATCTTTCTTGACATCGATGCGCTCCGGCGTTTGTCGAGGGAGCAGGAGCGCATGCAGCCGCTGAATCCTAATATGTTGTATTTGCAGCAACACACAGTATTCACACACACACACACGCACACGCACACACACACACGCACACCCACCCACACCCACCCACCCAGCCACCCACC